TATGGTATGATTGTATGATTATTTAGACTAGTGGAGTCTTGATTGACTGTTGGGTATCTATATGGTGTGTGTGTGTATGTGTGTGTGTGTATATATATATATATATATATATATATATATATATATATATATATATATATATATATATATATATATACGATTTATCTGGGATGATGACGGAATGGCTCCCGCCATGAGCCTACACGTCGAGGGGTGAGGTTCACGAAGTGGTTGTGAATGGAAATCACAAAAGTGGTCGCGAGCTCGTGTCCCGAAAGTGGCCATGGATAGTTTTCATGAAAGTGGTTGTGAGTATGCAATTGTATGCATAGTTGTTACAATAGTATATATGGTATATTAGGGAACTCACTACGTTTTGTGCTTACGTTTTAAAGTTAAATGTTTTTCCGGTGCTTTTTCTATAAAGGGCAAGGGTGTGACTTAGTTATACACATATCGGGAGATTTCATGTTTTTGGTGTCCGCAAACTCTAATACATTTTTATGATTGGCTTTTATGATGTTAAACAAGTTGGTACTTATTATCTTTATGAAAAAATGGTTTTAGATCTTTTATTTATATTTTTAGAAAAATGGTTAAAATTTTGGAGCGTTACAATTTATGTGTTAGATATATGACAACATTATAAATGATAGAATGAAGTGGTAAATAGAGTCATTGTAAGAAATATAGGAAAATGATATGTTTATAACCAAAGTTTTAATGACTTGAAAAATAATATGGAATGACATTATAAGTATTGGAAGAAATTAGTAATGGACCATTTGGATAATTAAAAGCTTATTATACCATAAAGGAATCTAAGATTAAAAATCATATAAAGAAAAGTTAGAACTTGTTATGTGTATAATTATGTGATAGTAATTAACTTATCTTTTCATGAATCAGGAGATTGAAGGTATTTGGAAGTAGGGATGAGCTTTAGAGTTGGAACGGTTCGTAACTAGAATCAGATTTGCTATATTATAGGAATCGAACCGTCGGTGTCGATGTCGGTTCCGGTCCTAGTTCCGGTTTTTTTGTTATTTTTAAAACTAGAAACGGTTGATATGTTGTAAATGATATGTTGTCTTTCGGATTCTGTAAATGATTTAATATTTAATGAAAATATGACTTTGTACATTCTAAAATTAAGTACAAACACTAAATTACATTGTGGAAAAAATCGAGTAATTCGATTTCATATGAATGAGTTATGCGCATTTTAAAATTCGGGACATATTAAAAATAACGAAATACTGAAACAGAAAATACGCAGCATTGATATGTTGTCTTCCAGGGCGTAGGGCCTACTGATTCAAATGTAACTGATTCAAAGCTAACCAGAATATGTATTTATACAGTCTAAAATGAAGTATAAACACCAAATTACATGATGGAAAAAAATTTAAGTAATCCCGACTTCATATGAGTGCGTTATGCACATTTAAAAAAGCGGGATAATTTCCAAAAAAAAAAAAAGTGTTGAAGTAGAAAATATGCAGCATTCATATTCTGTCTTTCGGGGCCTTTATCTTATTCAATATCTAACCAAAATATTTGTTTTTATAGTCTAAAATGAAGTATAAACATCAAATTACATTTTGGAAAAAAAAACAAATAATTCTGATTTCATATGAGTGAGTTATGCACATTTAAAAAAACGGGACATATTAAAAAAAACAAAAAAAGTGCGGAACTAGAAAATACGCAACATTGATATTCTGTCTTCCGGGCTCTGTATCTGATTCAATATCTAACCAAAATATGTGTTTTTATAGTCTAAAATAAAGTACAAATACCAAATTACAAGTTGGAAAAAATTAAGTAATTATAACTTCATATAAGCGAGTTATGCACAATTTAAAAAACATGACAAATTTTGGTATGGTTCCGACTTTTTAACCAGGTTTTTTAGAACCAAACAGGTGTTAGAACCATAACTAATTTTTATAAAAGTGGAGAACCGGTAACCGGACCTTATGACTAAATATGGTCCGGTTCCGACGGTGCTAAAGCTCATCCCTATTTGGAAGTGATCAAGAGCAATGATAAGTGGATTAGTGTAGTTAGACATACTTAGCTACTAAGGTAAGTACATATAGCTTTTTCCCACTATGAGGTACATGGAAAACCAAGTTTTAATAGTTTAAAGCTTATATGCAATCTCATCTTCTTTTTATAAAAGTATTACAAGTTATGTTTGTGATTTTGAAGCATAATCTAGTTGATAATATTGAAAACTCTGTTTGAGTATATAAGAATAGTTTCAAAAAATGCTTTCATATGTTAAGAAAGTTATTGAAGCATAAGCGCATATCATGCTAGAAGTTAGTTTATGTCATCTGTTACTATATGACAAATATAATTGAATAGGTTGAGAAAAGTTAAACATGTTTATGATTTATTGAAAGCATTAAGTTATATTAATGAAATTTTTATATGTATTTTTTGAAGTATATGTATTTTCATATTTGTATGTTTGCTAAGCATATACATAACATGGCATTGCATAGTTGACTAATATAGAGAATCTTAGGGGGTTGTTTCTTTTTTACTTAATAGACTTAATGTTTAGAAAATTTAATAAGTTCAGCTATATAAGACTAGACTGTTTCTTTTTTTACTTAATGTTAACAAATTATCATAATAGATTAAGTTATGAAAATAGTGTCCTTAACACTGACCCATGATTATACATTATTTTTGCCAAAAATACCCTTAAGAAAATCACTTTCCACCACCAAAATAGGAATAACTATTTATCTCTCCTTCTATATTTATTGTTATATTTGTGCAATTGGGTTATTAAAGAAGATAACTGTTTTTATGTATATGAATAATAATATTATAGAAAAAAACTCTAAAAGAAATAAAAAGCAACATGTTTACTATGTTGTTAATATTTTCATGTTTTAAAATTCTATTGTAAATTTGTCATTTTGACGTATAATTTCATATTTTAAATTCCTATCAATTAAAATTGGATTTATTTTAGTATTTATCATGTTATTTTTTCAATTTACTTAAGTTTTAAAGTTATTTAATGTAACACGTCTATCTAATATACAATAATAATTAAATAAATAGTCTTGTCTGTATTTTTTAAACATAAGGGTAAAAGAGTCAATTATTCAGATTCAGTTAAGATATCATTATCAATTCAGTCGACCTTATAAATCCAGTACTTAACCAACTAAAAAAGAAAACAACCCCTTAGTGAACATACATATATTGAATGTAGTTGCATAAGTTCCAAGTAAGGTTTAGACGTGTTCTCATAACAGGATGAGAAGAATTTATCAGGATGGTACCTCCCATTGTGAGGTAGATGTATTATGGAAAAGTTGCCAAAGCAGGTTGATTTGTTCTTCTCGTTTTGGTCTTGACTTGGGGTATCACTAAATGTGTTTATGCCCTAAGTATAAAATCCAGTATCGAAAAAAAAAACCCCCCGATAAGCATAGTCAATAGTAATAGTAAGAAAAACATTAAAGTTAGATCATGCACCGGATACATATTACTTATATGATTTTGAAAGCAAAGTAAGGATTTTTGTAAAAGCTTTTGAAAGTGTAGTAGAGTGTTTGTAGTAGCTTTGAAAATATAGTAAACGATTTGTATTTGAAAGAATAGTAAAGAATTATGCATAAACTTTTGAAAGTATGAAAATAGTTTTATAAAATCTTTTGAAAGTATGTTTGTGTTTAAACCCGTGTAGCTTACAAGACGTTTTCCTTTAGGTATTTTATTGTGTGACATGTATCTCAAGAAATTAGAAGATGCTTGTTGATATGCTAGAACACGTCGGAAGATAGTTGGAGTGGAGTTTTATCATTGACTCCTTATTATGATCTTTTGTAGATCTTATTTTTCTTTTTATGATTTAAGTTTGATATGAATTTGATAACACCCATGTTGTATACATTTAACAAATGGTTTTTGTTGGACCATATTTTTGTAAAACATGACTGCGTCATGACATGTTTTAAAACCATCACATAAAAAGCTTTGTGAAAATGGGGTGTTATAAATAGAATCCCAAGAATGTGAGCCACATACTTATACTCTTTTTACTATAATAACAACATAGTTATAACTGTTTCTTGACAAGGAAATGTAAGCATGTTTATATTACGGTAAGGAATTGCAAGTACATTAATATAATATGTAGAGAAATATAATTATGATGATATTACTATGTCTAAAAAATAAGTGCACTTCTTATACTAGTTAAAAAGGTACATTACATTGTATCTCCTTCAACTTGTCGTACCAAACTTGATAACTTTAAGAAAAAATGTGTTTTCCTGGGAATAAATGAAGGTTCCAAGAACGGTGATAGCAACTCAAGCATATTGACATGTTTGACATGTGTGCAAAGATTATAATTAACATCCCATTTTAGAAAATTTCTTTGGATTTCATATTAGGATTTGCATTTCAGACATTGGTTTTTTAGCTAAAAGGCATGGAAATAGAAAGTGCAAAACTAAATTTGGTTTATAGTAATCTCCTTTGAATGTGAATGTATACTTGGTTTCGTTGAAATCATTGAGAGAATCTAAATTGATGTAGTCGTGGGTATTGCATTTCAAATTCTCTTTATTAAGAGGACCACATAAACGATAGAACCCATTCTTATTTGGGTCCGAAATGACCATCAATGGTTAAAGGCAATACCACCATCACATTGGGCAAGAAGTCATTTTTCACATACCATTGTAATATTTTCAATTTGAATAGCCGTACTTAACATGGTTCATTGTTTTGATTTGTATATCCACAGGAAGAGCACATTCTAATGTCTTTTTGAACAATATGTGTAAGGTTTTTTTTTTTTTTTGTAGGCATGTAGATGGCTAAATTGTTACACATACACATATATATTTTATATACGTATGTATGTGTGTGTATATATGTCAATTCGTTAAAGTTGTTTTCATTTACCATGGTCAGAAATATCAAACTAACAAAGTAAAAGAAAAACATGATTTTGATGCCTCAATTTGTCCCAAAAAAGCACAATATTCTTATTTTGCTATCTAAATGTCGCAACTACTCTCAATAGCTTGATCAATGTTTCAAACAACACATGCCAAAAGGCGCACACACGATTGATCTGTCTGCAACTTTGGCACTAAAGAGTCTTCGGTTCCTACACTTGTAACACAACTCAATATAAAAAGAGTTCCCTCCGTCTTTACATCTACTCATGAAAACACATCCACCTTCTATACCATTTTTACGGTTTTGCCTATGAAAACACAATTCATATATTCATTAACAATAGAATCCCAAGAACATAAGCAACATATGTATACTCTTTTTACCATAATAACAACATACCTACATTTGTTTATTGGTAAAGAAATGCAAGTATGTTGCTATTATGCGTAAAGAATTATACGTATCATACTATTATGGCTAAAAAAGTATGTTGCTATTTTTAGGAAGAAGAGGGGTTACCTGGGAATAAATGAAGGTTCCAAGGATAGCAATTGCAGCTCCAAGTGCATTGACAGGTTGGACAGGTGTATGAAAGATGATAATTGAAGACACAATAACTGATATTCGCTTCATTGTGTTTCCAATGCTAAATGTCAAAGGAGATATTTGATCCAATGACATATATGACACTTGGTTGTATAAATGATAAAACACACTTTGTGCCACCACCCACCTGAATATTGAATACAATTTTATTAATCTAGCAACATATATATATATATATATATATATATATATATATATATATATATATATATATATATACAATACATGTGTTTCTTTTTGACTAAATGAAGTGATGATAGTTTACCAAATGAAGTTGGGCCCAATTTGTGTTAATGCAGTTTGCCAACCAACTTCCCACATTTGTGGGCCTTCCATAGCGATTGTGAAAGGGGTTAATATCAACAAAGATAAAATCGATAAGCAAGCATAGTAATTCATCCCACTGACGGATTTGCCCTTCATTCCTTTTTTAGAAAATATATTTCGAAACACAAATGCCAAATTCGATATCATTGCTCCCATGAACCCTAAAGATAGAAAAACACAAATGGCAAATTTATTCCTATTTCCTGCAATTAGAGCTTGTTTAGCTCCATTTTGAATTCCAAAGTCTAGAAACATGAAATTTATTGGTGATTCAAGAGAAGGTTTTTCATACCAATCATATTGAAGTTGAGTTCGGTTAAAGCAGATAGTGCACAACCTCCAATGATTGGCAAAAGTGACAAATATACCCCCATTGGGAACGCCTCACCAAGAAAGAACCTTGAAACCAATACACTAAAAGCAGGTTCACTGCTTTTGATAATGTGTGTAAATGAAACTGCAACTTTTGACATACTAATTGTAGCTGCTACATGTCCAATTGTATGCGCTAAAGCAACCTGCATTTTTTTTATAAAGAAAATTCTTGTTTAGAACATATAAACGACATTAAAGTAAGGTTTATTCATCAATTTTATATGCAAAAACCAAAATTTTAAACTCCCAAATCGGCAAAAGTAGGCATTTGGTTTTCTTGATAAAAATTTGTTGCTTTTATCTTACAAATGTAGTTTATTTTGGAAGTCGTTTATGATTATTAGCTTTAATCAACGATTATCTAATTCCAAAAGCCACATTCAAAACCTGACAACAAATAGAGTTAATTTCTTTGGTTTTTTATACAAGTTTACCAAATCTATAAGTTATACATGCATATTTCATAACTCTACCCCGAGAATCATAACAATATGAAGATCATTAACAATTAACATAAAAGTTAAAGACCTGCATGTTTCTACTAATTTATCTAATGAAACGGATTTCTTATCAGTTTATTTACAGCAATTTGTTACCAACTTTATACCGATTAATGCAACAAAGAAACTCCACTGCATGGTAAAAACATGAGAGTTCTTTGCATAGATAAAGTCGCTAACCATTAACCAGATAATCAAAAGCAATAATTACATACCGGAAACAGAGTTTTCCAAAACTCAACATCGGTTTTTGGAGCTTCAACCATCTTAGTAGCCCAAGAAACCAACATAATCAAAGATCCAGCAGCCAAAGAAAGTGTTGATGTTAGCCATGGAAACGGAAAAGCATTCAAGACCTTCTTGTTATAAATATTAAACACCACATTCAAAGACCACCAAGTCGCAAAATACAATCCAATTTTCATCTTCTGACCAGCTTCAGATTGAGCCATTTCGTCCATCTTGATCTCCAATGGCTGCGAATGGTCAGCTTCATACGCGTTGCACACAGCTCCATGGTTAATTTTTCTGATTGACCCGCCAAAATCTTGAATGTGGGAGATGTAAAGGGGTTTCTTGAAGGTGATTGACGATGGTTTGATGTTGAAATTGAAGGGTGTTGGTTGTAAATATTGGATTTTGAATGAAATTTGGGAAGAACCCTTTTGGGGTATTGAATTCGAGCTTGAGATAGATGGTGATGAATGTTTTATAGAGCAATTCATTGTGTTTGTGTTTGAAATTGGGATTTTGGAGTGTGGTAATTGGGGTTTTCTAGGGGAAATTTTAGCCTTGGAATCTCAGAAATCAACAAGAGGATGGAGGTGGGTGACGGAGTTCACGAGATGCTGGTTTGATGAAATTGAGAATGGGTGGTTGTGTGACGGAGGAGGGCGGATGTTGGGAGGAAAAGAAAACCGGCGGCGGCGGAGTAAAGTATGGGACAGGTATGTCTTTCACGAAACACCATGCACTGCAGAAGGAGACACCTAAACCCCTATATATACTTGCATAAAAAAGTTGCATCCAGGTCCCTAAATTATGGTTCTCTCTCCACTTTTGTCCAAAAAAAAGTGTCATATTTTTTTCTTTAATTTATTTAATAAAAAAAAAGCAAACATCATTTTTTTTCTCTCCCCTATAATACAACCATTTTTTCGGCAATTAACTTATTTATGCAAGATTACTAAAAAAAAACATAGAAATCTTTTTTTTTGTTTTTTTGAGATGATTCGTACACAACAGTTTTTTATCATACATAACAGTTTATGCATCATAGAGTTGTACAGTACAACATTTTAAAACACCAATTGTTGTGTATGGAGAAAAAATTATTGTGTAAAAATCTATCTCCTTTTTTTTCTCCCTATGGTTTTTTGAAAATGTCAATGTAAGACAATTTTAAAAAACACTTCAAATGTGGATATGTGGTTTCAAAAGGTTGCAACTTTGATTTTTTTTTAAACATTTCTTTAGTAAAGTTGGGTTAAGTATTGAAAATGAAATGACAAATTTATCCTTTTTATAAAAGTCAACACATCATCACCCCTTTACTCTCACATATTCTCCCCTTATGAACGGTGGTTGAAGGTGGTGGTGGCGTGGTGGTGGAGGCAGCTGTTGAAAGCGGTGGTAGTGGTGATGATGACTAAAGGCGATGATGGTGTTGGCGGTTGCTAAAGGTGGTGGTGGTTCACGATGAAGGCAATGATAGTGATGATGGTGGTTGCAAAAAGGGGTGTTGGTAGCGGTTGGTAAAAGTGATGTTGGTGTATGTTGAAGGCGATGATAATCGTGATAGTCGTGGCTGAAGGTGGTAGTGGCGGTGACCAAAAACTGTGATGGTAGTGGCTGAAAGCGAGGGTGGTGGTGACTGTTGTAGAAGGTGATGTTGGTGCATTGTTAGGTGCATTTATAAATATGTGGTTTAACAAAAATAATCATGTTTTTACAAAAATGATCATTTTGATCTAAAGTGGTTAATTCGACTTGTTCTTGACATTCTGTACCGACCAAAAATATATAATGTGCATTTTTTTCTCATTTGCGTAATATTTTTTTTTCTTAAAAACTCTTTATACTTATGTCTTAAATGTCCGCTTTCAATAATATTACTGTTTTTCAATTATATGTGTGATTTTAAACTCTTATATCGTGTATACTTCCAATTTTCTATATTTATTTATTTATTTTTGTTACATTTTAGTAAAACGAAGTATTTTCTCAAAATTTCAGAATTATTCATCGGATTTCAAACTTATTGAAATTCATGCTGGAGCGTCTTATTCCACACTTATATATTGATATTTTTCAAATATATATATATATATATATATATATATATATATATAAAATCTTTAATATTAGCTTAAAATGTAATTAGTTTAGCTTATATCCCCTTTTAACAACCAATTTTTCTCTATTAATTTTTTTGGTATGATACTCAAAATGATATTATTTATATCGTTTTTTCAATTCTAACCATATATTAAAAACATTACATCAAAAGTATATATTTATATTGTAATAATAAAATAGTAGTTATAAATATATTTAATATTAATATTAATTGTATATATTGTTAGATTTATCATTAATATAATTTACAAAAGTAAAAAACCATGTTCTCTAGCGGTGGTTTTCTCAAAACCGATCATCTACTCACATAGTCACATGCTAAGATGGGTTTTGTACACATTATTCTTCTCACTTGTCTTTGATCACCACCAAAATCAAGAATATACAAGTTTGTAGATGGAGGGCGAAGCTAAGATTTAACAATAAGAGGGCTCACAACTTCACATCATAATAATATATTAAAATCGGACATTTCAAAGAATCTAATTTTACCTCTCCTAAATCGGACATATCATCTTTTTCAGGTTCAATATTATTGAGTTCTTCCATCCTATCAGGTTGTTGTTGGTGTGTATTATGAACATCTTATTTATTATCACTGACCGGATGCAATTTTGGATCACGCATGTCTTTTATTCGTTTGAAAAAAAAACCCGATGGTTCTTTTTTTGCTCATAATTTTTCCTATAAATTTATAATTGTAATAAACAAATCATCAAAACCATATCACTATCACTGTAACTACTTATGATTTCTCTTATAAATTTTTAATTGTAATAAACAAATCATCAAACAATATCATCGTAACTACTTTTGATTTACAAATTGATAATATTATCAATAACAAATTACTAGTAAAACCAAATATAATAAAAATAAAAGTTTACCATATTAATTGGTGTAGTAGGAGGTAGAAGCAAAAACAAGAAACTGGTCTTCGAAGTCGTCGTTTAACTAAAAAAAAAGGATACGTAGTTTACGTCTTTGTGACTAGTGGCTAGGTGCCTAGGTTTAATATTGAATTCTAACTCCAAAACCAATTATACCAATTAAATTAAAATAGGATATTATTGGGATTTTATTTCATTTGTTTAATTACAACCAAGATGTTGTATCCGAATAAAAGCCCATATACTTTTTGTTATTACATGGACTTTTGAATTACGTCTATACTTTTTGTTATTATATGGACTTTTGAATTACATACTATATCTATCATTATAAGACCGGAGGGAGTGGTGCGGTCTGGACCGTACTCCTTCTGCCACATAAGCATTGAACACCGCCCCCTGGGTGCTCCCTAGGGTGCGCTGCGGCTTTTGGAGGGTGCGCTCTATGGATGATTTTGATTGGTTGGTCACAATTGACCGTAGCAAACGGTCAAATTTTAGAAATTTAATTTTTTTTAACCACTGCTATAAATACTTTATAAACTAAAAAAAAACTCGTCTACATTCTACCATCTTCAACATTTTACCATCTTATTTCTTTTTAAACCCACGAAAAACGTTATCCTCCAGAAATCCAACCAACGAAAAAACACCCACCAGAAAACCCACAACCCCAAGACCTTCACTCGATCAACCGATTTATTCGCCTCATTTCTACCACTACGGGGGTATGTTTCCCTATTTTCCACAAAATATCCAACAACCACCACAACCACAAACACCCATTTCTGAATCTGAACCAGAATTTGTTCCACAAACTCAACTATCTCAACCAGGAAATAAAAGAAAAGAGAAGACGGAAGCTAAAGCGTGGTCACCTCAAGAAGAGTTAGTATTAACACAACCATGGATTGACGTTTCAGAGGACGTGAAGACGGGGGGGGGGGGGGGGGGAACCAAAAACATGATCGTTTTTGGATGCGCGTTAGAGCTCGGTTCCATAAAGGAATGAACTTGGAACCATATCGTACTAAACATCAGGTGTACTCAAAATGGGGAAAGATGAACAAAGATGTGATGTTGTTTAACGATTTATATAACAACATGAAACGGCAATGGAAAAGCGGCGAAAATGACGAAGTGGTTTTGGAGAAAGCTTTTAACATCTATCAAAAAGAGCAAAAGAAGACTTTCAACTTTTTTGAAGTTTGGAATCTACTAAAAAACAACAAAAAATGGCAAAACCTGAAAACAAGCGACGAGCACATCGATAGCGGATCAAAACGGTCAAGAACTTCCGAATCAGAACACACTTCATCGGATGCTCGTGTTGGTTTCGACCTCAACGAAGATGAGCCCGTTCAAGTTTCACCACCCTCCCGACCAATGGGAAGGGACAAAACAAAAAACAAAGGCAAAGGCAAAGCGTCGGAATCAGATGACTTGAAAGAAATGGACTATAATGTGCAAGGCAGAAAAGATAGAATGGATAAATTTTTGCAACTTGCTTCGAATAGAGAGAGTCGGAAACAAAGGGACAGTGACCTGAAAGTGCTATCGATGGACACGCCAAATTTGACCGGGGATACGCTTCAAGTCGTTTTGCAAATGAAGGAAGACCTGAAAAAACGTTATGCTAATCGTGGTTAATTTTTAGTTGTTTTCCAAGTTTTGATTATTTGATGTGTGTTTTTTTTTAAAATTGTACGTTTAAACTATCTAGTTTTTTTAATTTCTAATTTCCTAGGTTTTTTTTAAGTAATGTAATGGTTTTTAATTTTAATTAATGAAATATTTTGTTTTTATTTAAAACTAAAAATTTTATTTATTTAAAAAATAAAAATAATTTGAAGGAGTGTGACACCACTCCTTGGGTGTGGTATGAGACCACACTTTTGTGGTAATGGGTGAGGTGACGCCTACGTGTCACTGCGGTTTCATGAGGGAGCGCAACACCACTCCCTCCAGCCTAAGATTTTTATTGGAGGGGGCTAGGCATCCGGCAGCCCCTCCATTCCCTCCGCGAGTTTAGTTCTTGTTTCCATGTTGGCAAGACGAGAATATAGTGACAATGTTTGCAAGGTGGTTAGTGGTGGTGAACGTTATTGCATCGTCAAATACCCATCATTTTGATTAATTTAACAATGTTACAATAAAACATTCTTTCGTATTAAAACTTAAAGGCCCATATAACAATGGTTATAATCTGGTAAAAGTTTGATTAATCTAACTTCTTGAAAGCTAAGCTGGAAGTTATCTTATTTTTTTTTATAAATCATTCACTTAATTATATTAAACTTGGTATATTAAATGTTTTTCTCATCATTCCCCTTTCACAATTACTTTCTACAACTGATGTGTAAAATTCAAGCTCAAATTTATAGATTGGTTTCACCAACGTTAGAGACTATTATACAATTCAACAAGTATACCAATCGAATGACAATATATATTTGGTAAGATCAGGTTATCAAATTTTATGAGAATATGTATGATTTAGTTCGGATAATTGAAATATTAGTTAAACTAAAAGTAGCAATTAAAAAGGGAATTAATCAAACTAAATTCAGCTAAGAAACAATCTAAGACAAAAACAAAACTAGAATTTTTCTTTAAAAGAACTTTCACAATTTCGATTTCCCCCCTTTAACTATGATTGATTTTGCATAAGTGCAATGAGTTTAACTAATTATCTACTACTGATTCCTAATGTGATT